GCCATGGACCTGATCGCCAAGCTGCCTTGCATCGCGGCCAAGATCTACCGCAACCTGTACCGTGAGGGCAGCAGTATTGGCGCCATTGACCCTGGCCTGGACTGGTCGCATAACTTCACCAACATGCTGGGCTACAGCGAGCCCCAGTTCATCGAGCTCATGCGGCTCTACCTCACTATCCACAGGTGAGGCAGCCCAGGAGCCTCCTGTGCCCCCATGGGAAGAGGTCTGTCCCCTGTGGGACATGGTCTCTGGCAGCATGATGGCAGGCTGGGCAGAATCGAGCTTTGCCTCTGGACTAATCTTGACTGCCAAGACACCATAGGGGCAGGTGCCACTCTAGCTAGCGCATTGCTGCTCTTCTAGGGCGCTTGACTGCCCCTTGGCATCTGAAGGTGCTATAGCATCTCCCCCTGAGCTGGGGGCTGCTCTCATCTCCCCCCACCCCTCTTCCCCCCCACTGCAGTGACCATGAGGGGGGGAATGTCAGCGCTCACACCAGCCACCTCGTGGGCAGCGCCCTCTCTGACCCGTACCTCGCCTTCGCAGCCGCCATGAACGGGCTGGCTGGGCCGCTGCATGGCCTTGCCAACCAGGTGGGTGCCCCTTGCAAACCAGCATCTGGGGGGGCAGGAGGTGGCAGCATATGGATCTGTACACAGATGCACGTTCGTGTGCATTCCCACACTCACCCAGCTGTGCCCTGCAGGAGGTGCTGCTGTGGCTGACCAACCTGCAGAAGGAGCTGGGCCAGGAGGTGTCGGATGAGAAGCTGCGGGACTTCATCTGGAACACATTGAACTCAGGCAGGGTGAGTAGCCCGGGCAGAGGGCTGCCTCCTTGAACTGGGGCTGGGGCAGCCCCTCCCTCTGGCTCTGACCCCCAACGGTGCTGCAGGTGGTGCCAGGCTACGGGCATGCGGTGCTGCGGAAGACGGACCCACGCTATACTTGCCAGCGGGAGTTTGCCCTCAAGCACCTGCCCAATGACCCCATGTTCAAGCTGGTGGCTCAGCTCTACAAGATTGTGCCCAATGTGCTGCTGGAGCAGGGCAAGGCCAAGAACCCCTGGCCCAACGTGGATGCCCACAGTGGAGTGCTGCTCCAGGTACGGCCCTCACTAGTGGGGGTGGTGGGTGGGTGGAGTGTCTTGAGCTTACCCAGACCTGGGGACATCCAGCTCCTCCAAGCAGCCCCTCATTGCCCCGAGACGTGCCCCAACCCCACTCTCCCCACAGTACTATGGCATGAAGGAGATGAACTACTACACAGTGCTGTTCGGCGTCTCCCGGGCCCTGGGTGTCCTGTCGCAACTCGTCTGGAGCCGGGCTCTCGGCTTCCCCCTGGAGAGACCCAAGTCCATGAGCACGGATGGCCTCATGCAGCTCGTGGGCTTCAAGTCGGGTTAAAGGGACGGGGCCCTGTGGCACCCAAGGGAATGTGGAAAGAGACAGTGCACCTCTGCGACAGGGCCCGAGCAGGCTAGAATTAAACCGCTCTAAGGCACTGTGAAGTTTCAGGTTATTTATGGTGTAAATTAAGGTTAAAAGAGAAGCCAGACCCATACCCCCCCCACCTCTCCCCCACCCCATGGCCAGCACCCTGTGCTGCAGCTGCTCACAGCC